GGCGGGGCCCGGCCAGGACATCTCCCTGATGCCATGCGGGCCGCCTGGGTCGCTATGGCATCTTGCTCGGACAGCCAGGCTGCTGGCTGTCACCGGCGGCTGTGAGGAGGAACGCTCCCTTCCTTCTCACAGCCGCTGCTGAGTTGGGGACAACCAGCAGCTTCGCAGGAGGTGGCTGGGCCCGTCATCGGCAGCGATCGAGGGGGCGGGCCCGGCGATCGAGGGGCGGGGCCGGCGATCGAGGGGCCGGGGCCCGGCGATGGAGGAGGCTGGGCCCAGTGACGGAGGAGTCGATCGTGGAGGAGAAGGAGGCGGACAGAGGATCAGGGCTGACAGGTAAGAGGGCTTGACCGCCTGCTAGAGACCCTGCAGAGCCTACCATAGAGGGTCTATGGTGGGCTCTGCAGGGTCACCCTTAGGTGGGCTGTTTGGGTTATCAGGTGGGCGTAACTAGAAATCACAGGGCCCCATACAAAATTTTGCTATGGGGCCCTGTGATTTCTAGTTACGCCCCTGGGTGTAAGGTGAAGGTCTGTTCATCTCTTCCTGCATTTGAACATAAATACATGGCCCTCTTCTTGTTAAATCAGAACTGAATCCGCAGTGTGACCCTGGAGCAGGAGCCATAATGTGCAAGTATGTACATCATATTTACACATCATACCAGGCTTACATGCAAGTCTGCTCTCCTCGAGCAATGCAAGGCCTGCACTCCCCATCCTCTCTCCTTTGCTACTGTTTTTTCAGTATGACAAAAAAAGAGTAAATCTATTATCAGTTAATTCTTAATAATACAATTTTGTTATCTTTTTCTGGTTTTCTGCATTTGTATACATGCAAACTACCCTGATTTTTTTTCTTTTTCTCCAGGGTGGGGTGGAATGCTGAACCATGCATTTTATGCTGTAGTTATACTGTATAATTTATAGTTTTGCATACTATTACCTGTTCATCTAGCAGGCAGATAATCAGAACATTGTGTATCACCCTTAAATAAACATGAGAGCTGTACTAGACAATCCAAACAATAATTATCTATTCTGGGCCTTGCAAGGACTGGGCATAGTTTTGCCAAGGGAGAAGCTTGAATGATAATTACGCATTCATGTGTTTGTAGCATTTGTTGCAAATAATACTTGGTATATCGGGACCTCTTGTAATTGAAGTATACTTCATCTATATTACTTGCTGCTTGATATCACAGACATACTTCGGTAAAGTAGTATCGACTGGGTGTCCAAATCAAAATATATATTAAGTCCAGATTTAATTTTATTCAGACTCTTATATCATAAAAAAACAGAATGTTTTGCGAGTTCGAAGGGTCCCCCTTCATAAAGACTATAAAAACTATAACAAAAATGTTTCTTATTTGTGTATCACTTAGCTGTAGAGCCTCAAATCATCTCTGAATTGTTGCTGACACTGTCCTTCCTTCTGGAGGGTGGCTACTTCTGTTCCCCATGGTTCCTGTGTTTGTTGTAAAGTAGCCATCACTCTAACCCTCTCCTGTGATAGACTATACCTTCAATAAAAATTATCTAATTAAACGTGAGATTATAGTCCATTGGGGGAGTGAGCTTGGAGCGGTGGCTACTTTACAACACACACAGGGACCATGGGGAACAAAAGTAGCCACCCTCCAGAAGGAAGGACAGTGTCAGCACTAATTCAGAGATGATTGGAGGATCTGCAGCCGAGTGATACACAAATAAGATACATTTTTTGTTAATAGTTAGGGTACTTGAATGCCTTTTTAAGATTTAAAGGTGAACTATGAGGTGAGTGATTTACACGCATCCTCACAGTTAGTGCTGTCACACGTCGACTCTATAGATCGAAAAGTGAGTGAAAACATACCGTCGCTTGCTCACTTTCCGATCATCTCCCTGCAGAGAGCGGTCACTATCAGTCGCCGCTCCCTGCAGGGATTCCTCTCTCCCCTCTCCGATCCTCCAGCACTGACTGGAGGAACGGGTGGAGGAGGGGTCGGGCACAGCTGGCTCTGCCTTTTAGATAGGCAGAGTCTGCTGCAAATCAGCCAGCAGGGTGGATCTCATCTGTCACGGCTGCGGCGCTCTCAGTATATAGCAGGCAATAGTAAGCGATATAATGAGCTTTGGGTCACAGGAGGACTATAGTATATGTCCTCCCGTGACCCTCCTGAGTTTAGTTTCACTTTAAACTGCCTTTGGTGATATTCTAATATTTGGTACGATGCTCTTATGTAGGATGAAGGTGGCTACTACAGTCAGTGTACAGACTCGCATTCAGAAAATTATGAGATTGTTATTGAAGATCTTATGAAACATTTTTATGCTAGAATGTGTGTATTAAAAAAAAAAAAAAGACTGGCTGTCCAGCTTTGGAGCAAGGATTGTTATAGTGGTTCCAAGTTTTAATGTTTTCAGGCGTGTTCCGTTACATTAGTTGTTTCTTGCATTGTACATATGACATGCCAGTGGACAAGTTTAAAAAGAATCTGTTCTTGTTGTAGAGTGCAGTTGAAGGCCCACTCATCAAAGCACAGAAAACACAGACTTATTCTGTGTCCCGTATGCGATCAAAGATTCAAGAGCATCCGTCAAATGAACAGGCACAATAAACAGTTTCATCACAAACAAAATAATGGAGATTGTAACAATGGGAAGGTGAAAGCAGGAAACCACAACAACACTTTTGTAGCAGAAAACTCAATGAATGCACAAATTGTCCCCCAACAAGAATTCGCCTGTGACATCTGCAGAAGGTACAAGTTCTTCTCTTTTTTGCTGATGTGTAAACTGTCCTGCTTGCTCCCTATTCATACACTTTCTATGGTTGGGTGATGTGGTAATCCAGCTCTTTACACCAGTCATGACCTAGAAAGCAACATTCCATATCTACTAGGCATTGCAGCAGTGATGGGGGGCTGCACATTGGTGTTAAAATGAGTAAAGTGTAATTACTCATTCAGATATGACAGACAGACATATGGGTTCCACTTGCAAAATAACAATGTGTACAGCAAGCTTTTACAAAGCATTGTTTGGCACATGCTCCGTCCAGTGTACACTCCGCTCATTCACAACATCTCTAAGATGCCGTAAATGGGCCTGATGTAACTTCAGTGAGCATGCGCAGTAGTTACATCATCAATGGCCACCCAAGGGTCAAAGAGAGTGCCTGGGAATCGGTAGAGATAGCGGCATCAGAGGGACCAAAGCTGCACTGCACAGCTCCACAGAAGGACACACTGCATGATACCTCATTATGGCAGAAACCCACCCAGAAAGCAGCAGCTTACTACCACTTTACATTTTGTTGACACCCTTTACAACCTTTTAGCATCTTGTTTAAAGTGACAGTTACCACTTTTATTAAAGCTGAACTGCAGCCATCTTAAAAGAATCCAGTTCACACCCTGACCAATGACTCTGACCTGCTGATGTAGCAATGTGGACTGGCCCATCTTTCAGTCCCATCCCCTTTATTGATGGCATTAGCTTGGTCCTTGTCTCATTAATGTTTACAATTTATAATGAGTTTAAATACGTAGGGTGAACGCTGATCTTATGCTGATAAGTCAAGGGGAGCTGAGAGCAATACTAAGCAATTTCTAAGTCTCAGCCTTAGAAATATATTCGAAAGAAATCCATGGCGCTGGAAACCTTTCAACAATCAAGATGCAATTCCCTATTCACACCTAGGAGTTTTGTCGCACGACAAAACTCAACACAAGAAATCTTATTCGTTTCAATGGCCCCTGTTTACACCTGAGCGTTTTGTCGTAAGCTGTAAAACACCTGTCACTGGAAAAAGTGCTTGAACTTCTTTTGGGCAGTTCACAGCACGTTTGTTCCCATAGACTTGTCACTGGGAGACATGCAGGAGCTTCTTTCGGACAGTTTACAGCACGTTTGTTCCCATAGACTTCAGTGGAAATGCCTGGATATCGTGCAACACAAGCGCCCATCTTTATGTGTGTGCATCTAAGTTGTGTAAAAAATGTGGTTTGGGGGGTCTTTTACAAACTCTAAAAGCTTCAGTTGAAATTTTTTTTTAAAAAGGGAAAAATTTTAAAGATGGTGTGGCCAGCTGAGGTCAAAAGCAGAACACAGGGCCTGACAGCGAAAGTGTTAAAACAAGTGTGTTTATGACACTCAAAGATTAACCACTTGAAGATTGGGGTCCCGTCCAGGCCATTCTTCAGTATTCAGGGCTTTTGACTGACAATTATTCAGTCATGCAACGCTGTACTGAAATGATTTTTATATCTTTTTTTTGGGACACATAGCTTTCTTTTGGTGGTATTTAATCACCACTGAGGTTTTTATTTGTTACTATATAAAAAAAAAAGTACCCCAAATTTTGAAAAAAAAAAAAACTGTTTTCCCTACATTATGTTAGTAAATATTGCAACTAAATAATCTTTCTTCATACATATAGGCCACAATGTATTCTGCTACATTATTTCTTTGGTCATGTCAAATTATTGCTTGCACTCCAGCGTTCGCAGTGATATTCAACATGCGTGGTGCAATCGTTGTTTTCGCACATAGGCAGCACATCCAATGCTTTTGTATGTGCGTGTACAGGAAAGGACATTTATAAATGCCCACCGCCGATATGAGTCAGCCATCCAGGTGTTTAATTAGAACTGCGCGGATGGCAAGTGGTTAACAAAACACAGAAAAGCATAACAAATCTTCCAGAGTTTGGCCTGGAATGGTCTAGTGTGATGACTGATAAAAGTTGATTTAGGGTACCGTACATAGCAGTTATATTCTACCTTCCTATACAAATGCATAAGCTTTTTTCTTGTTGGTGCATAAGCCTGTTTGTCAGAGATTGGAACCCGTTTGTTGTACATAATAATCATTAATTAATATGTGTGGGTTTCACTTCAACAGCTTTGTTGTGAGTAACTTCATTTGCTTGCTCAAGCTGTCATCTGACTAAGCGTTTAGTGCAAAAACACTGCCAGTGCCTGAAAGATTCCGATCGCATATATTAAGAGGGAGTTCTAGTTTAAAGAGAAACCTCACAATAATTTATCTGGCAGGATATTTTTTTTAATCTCACTTTTTAAAGTAAGGAATCACTAACCAATTAACATTATACCTATTTTCTTGCAATATTTAAAGCAACTTAAAGGGTTATTAAACCCTCCGTTTTTTTGCATATATCCACTGCTAGCAAGCAGTAGATATATGCAAAAACAAAAAAAATTAAAACTAAAATTAAAAGAGGTCAATACTTACCCGTGTCTCCGAAAATCTTGTGCGGCCGCCAAGCATCTTGGGGCGGGCACATGCGCAGTTCAGATTTTTGGCCGGGAGACGAGGAGAGACACAAGGTAAGTATATGGACAGCGTGCACCCGCATGCAGACACCGTGGGACAGGAAGTGCCTGCAGGGACAGAGGAGTCAGCGCTGGATCAGAGACCCGCAGCAGCGCTGGAGGAACAGATGAAAACGACCGGAAAGAAGAGGAAGATCAGATTAAGAGACATAATTTAAGGTAAGTGCTTACATTAACATTGGGGGCCGGGGAAAAAAAAATACTTTAATGTCACTTTAAGTTGATCAGGATGGGCATTTATCCTATTAATATATCAGTTGCACATTACTAAACTGGAGTACTTACACCTTACATGGTATTCAGTGAGGCCTTATTCAGCTTCCATTAAAATATTGCCGCTGAAAAAATCAAATAGAAACCTTTTTACTATTAAATTAGGCTGCAGCTTTAATTCCTGTCTGAGAAAATTGTTATCATGCGCTGAGTCAGATTACGTGGTTGGCCACCTCTAATGAGATCATATTTGGCTCCTTCTCCCACCATCCCTCTTGTGAAGCCACGAGTACAGATTTTATTAGAAAGGAAGATGCCAGCAGGGGGAAGTGCTGAGTATTACCTTATTCTATCTGTAAACTTAACACAGCCATGTATTAGACAAAGCATACATAATAACAAGTCTCAAAACTCAGTGGGTATTTATTGCTATGCAAGACACCTTGCAGAATCCATATCTGTGTTCTCTATAATTGGGTTCTCTTGGTTACGTGTTTTATGAATTTCACTATATTGTGTGTTTTATGTTCCCGTTTTTGTTGGTGTATGGGTTTCATTAAATATTTTCTTGAACTGTAAGACTGTATATTTTAAGAAACATCTGGCATTTCAGCATGAAGCTGTGAGCCTCACTGATAATGAGCCATTAAATTGTGAATGTAACTGTTCCACAGACATTTTGTGAGTTTTCTGTAAATTAATGCAGATGTAATTATATTCTGCTGCTGCAGGAAGAATCTATAGATGTGCAAACATCTGTCATATGTCTTCAGTAAAGAATAACTAGGGGGAAATTAGTATTAGGCACAGTTGTCTTGGGCCTAAGGACAGGATTGTGGGTGCAACTTCTATCCTCTGGGGCATGAGGATTGAAAGATATTTTTATTGATCAATTAAGACAAGTAATTGGCTTCTAGAGCTTTTGGCTGAACATATTTTTTGTACTCGTCAGTTAAAAAAAATACAGAATAGTTGAATATTGTGGTACTTGGGTAACTTTAGCCTCATAAACACAACTTTATGTAATAATAAAGAATATCTTAGACCCATAAGCTGTTCCCCAGTGTACTGGTTCCCACATTAATTGCCTTTTCAGCAACATCATGGAATAACTGCTCTGTAACACTACACAGTACTCTCTAAATGTAATTATAGCTCATGAACCAGAAGAAAAATACTTTTGGTTCTTCGTTTGCTCTTGTGGTAAAGGCTCAGTTTGTTAGTCAAGGAGTGCCTGTCCTCACCATTAACTTGGACTGGACTTGCCTCAGTTTCTTTTTATAATGCTGAACCAGAAGTATTGTCAGAATTAGGAGGGACTGCATACAGGTCACTGTCCTTGGCATAGATCATAAAAATGTATGCGGTATTTTGGAAGGTGGATTTGGGAGAATTAGAACCAAATATTCATAAAAATCTTTATTTTAGGTCTGACTTCCAGCAAAACACATTTGAGGAAGGTAGAGATTAGGAAGTCTTGGGAAGAGCGAAGAGGATGGTTTGGGTGATATTTTGGTTGGCTATGGTAGATTTGTGGGTGGCTTTGTATGTTGTTAGTATTTTTATTTTGTTTGTTCATGGAAGAGAAGTTTTAGGGTTCCACCCTGACTTAACTGGTTTGCAGCATTCTGGCTTGGCTGCCATTTTACCCACGTGATTCCTCCTTTTGTCTGAGCAGACTCTGTAATGTTGCTCACTACTCTCGGGCTCCCTCTTATGGCCAGACAGGGGAGCATCATCTGAGAGAGCCAGATGGGAGTTTCCTGTCTCTGAGTGATGATGTCACCCCACTCACTATATAAACCACTCAGTCCAGTCTGACCTTGACCTTGCGTGGTCTTACCTGCTAGTGCATTCCTGCTGCTCTGAGTATCCTGATTCTGTGTATGACTTGATCCTGGCTGACGTTCTCCTCTGGTTCCTGCTCCTGGCTTGTTCCGGACAATGCTGATCTCTGTGTTCCTGACCTGGCTTGTCACAACTTCCCGATCCGACTCCTGACCTTGGCTTGTTACGGTTTATGATTTTTGCTTGCTCCTATGGACACTGTTCTTAATAAATATCTTAACTAGCACCTTATGCATCTCTGGTTTTCATTGTGCTATGACAGGAAGCCAGTGAAGGGAAGCTAGAGAGGGGCATCAGACTGGTTTGGTAAGGGTGATGAGTCACCTAATAGCAAGAAAGTGAATTAGTAGCTTGCTGGTGTCATTGGTTTCAAAGGGGTGTATTTTGGTGGTGTTAGGCAGCAAGGTTTAGATAAAAAATTGGATGTGGGGCTCGAAGGAGAGGCTAGAGTCCATACTAGGTGCATACCTAGCACCCTACTATGAAGGGGAGGGACTGATAACTGTGCTATTGATCTTGAAGGAAAAGTGAGGAGAGGGGCAAAAAATATGAGCTCAGTTTTGGAAAGATTGAATTTTAGAAAGTGGTGTGACATCCATACTGATATGGCAGAAAAAAATAAATTTATGTTAAAAGAGAAATGAAAGGGGTAAGCTGAGGAATAGAGAGAGAGAGTTGGGTGTAAACAGAAAGATGGTATTGAAAGCCATGGGACACTATCATCTGACCAAGGGAGTAGATGGAGAATAAAAGAGGTCTCGGGACAGAGCCTTGGGCGAGCTCTATGGGAAGCAGGAGAGGAGGAGAGAAAATGGAGCTGTAGGTGACACTGAATGAATGCTTGGATGGGTAGGAAAAGAATCAGGAAGAGCAGAGTCTTGGCAGTCAGTGGAGTAAAGTTTATGAGTTTTATGAGGAGGAGCAGTCAGTCAAAGGCAGAATTGTTTGTTTTGCCTGAGGGCATCATGAAGGCCAGACAGATTGTCGACTGTGTGGTAAAACCCTGCTGTCATACCACTTATAGTCACTGTTGAAACCAAACCTATGTTTTTGAATGAGATAAAGCTCAACTCCATAGTGCAGCAGCACCTGGCATTAAAGTGACACTAAACTCAGTATTACCATTTTAAAATGCATTCAAGTACCTTAACTAGTAACAAAACTGTATCTTATTTGTGTATCACTCAGCTATAGATCCTGAAATCATCTCTGAATTGGTGCTGGCACTGTCATTCCTTCTGGCTACTTTTGTTCCCCATGGTCCCTGTGTGTGTAAAGTAGCCACCACTTCAAGCTCACTACCGTAATGGACTACAATCTCACATTTCGTAACATAGTATGTAAGGTTGACTAAAGACCAAGGTCCATCCTGTTCAACGTGTGTGAGTGTGTGTGTATTCGTATTCATCTTACTCTAGCACTTCCCATATGCCTGTAGATTCATTTAGCTAGATAGTTTGTATTAACGTTATAGTCTATCACGGGAGTGAGCTTGGAGTGGTGGCTACTTTACAGCACACACATGAGGAACAAAAGTAGTCACCCTCCAGAAGGAAGGACAGTGTCGGCAATAATTCAGAGATGATTTGAGGATCTGCAGCCAAGTGATACACAAATAAGATACATTTTTGGTTCTAGTTAAGGTATTTGAACCTTTTGTAAAATGTAACTCCTGAGTTTAGTGTCACTTTAAACACAAACTGGGGATAAACTGACTCCCTTAACAAATGCAATTGGCATAAAGAGGAAAATGGGTTAACATCTATAAAACAACAGCGGTTCATTGATTTCTTTTTCAAGGAAAACTAAAGCCGCAGGGTGCTCTGCTTTTCAAGAGTAGTTTTAAGAGGTGAAGTGAAGCAAAAACCAAACCGTAGTAAATGGCTTAAAGCTGATGTAAGAATTATAATTTAGGACAGAGCTGGCCTCTTTGTTAGCTAGCAGCAGCACAAAAAAATAATGCTTTATCTAGTTTGAACCTGATTGGTTTTATGCATTGGCTAGAAGAACTGTTTTGTTAGCCTAAGCTGCGGAATCTTCACTGAACATGTAATTTGTGTGCACATTTTATTTAGATTTTGTTTACCTAATTTTTTAATCAGACTTTTGTATTTTGAGTTTATTTTATGTCCTGTATCTACATTCCTTAGTAATGCGCATGGATAAAAAGAAAGGTCTTTACTAGGGATGCACCAATGCAGATACCGAGTATTTGGGCAAATGCTCGTACTCGCCCAAATGCTCCGATGCTTACTTCCGATATTGGAACTTCCGGCAGTGCTGAGGGAGCATGGAGCCGGCTTCCTATACAATCTGGAAGCCGGGTGGTGGGTTATGACCCACCTTCTGGCTTCCTGATTGGCTAGGAAGCCAGCTTTTACTTGTTGCTAGACAGCCTGGCTTCCTAACCAATCGGGAAGCCGGGCGGCACTCAATGACCTGCCTCCCGGCTTCCTGACTGGTCAGGCAGCCTCGGCATGTGAAGCCAGTGTTCCTTTGCTAGAAAGCTAATGATCTGCCGCCCGACTTCCTTGATAATTGGAGCACACGGCACTGGAACTTGGCATCGGCGAGTACCGAAAAAAATATATCAGTACTTGATACTGAGAAAGCAGTATCAGTGAATCCCTACTCTTTACCCTTAAAGTCCATTTCCACCTTTTGTAAGTGATTAGCATGTATTGTGGTAATGTAGAGGTACAGTGATGATGTATCTGTGTGCACATTTTCACGACTCACATTGCAGGCGTTCTTCAATTTTTGCAAATTTTTAAATAGGCCTGAATCCTTAAAATCAAATATTTCCTCCACAGGAAATTCAGTCTGACACTGGGGTTGGATTGTAAAGTAGTCTGTAAACAGCTGCCCTCCTCCCTGTGATTCTGTATAACACGATCACTAAACACCAGCTCTGCCTTTACACACAATACACTGCCTGGGGGGGGGAGCTCATAGATTTCAGAGCTCAGTTGTAATATATACACATTGCTTGCACAGCACAGAGGCAGCCATTTCCATGAGGATAAGAAGAAGAAAGCTAACAAAGTGTTCATATATAGCAACTGCATAGACCTCGGTGTACATTGCTGTCATATGTTTTTTTTAAATACCTCTGCAAAGGTGGAAATGGGCTTTAAGTTGGGTGTACAAATTTTTTATTTTCTTTATTCAACCTGAGGGCTGAACGAAGAACATAGAGCAGATTCCACGATTAATACTTACGAGCATTGATCGAGGAATCTCCCGCTGTGTACATTGTATTCTGGCTTATTGGCTGCTTGCTCTGTTTGGATGAGAATTTTCCGACATGCTCCTTCCATCAGCTGATCAAGGGATGCCGGTCGGCAAGCTGCCGACAGCGGCACCCATGCTTCGAATTTGAAGCGTGGATTCCTGGCTTTAATGTGTATTCAGTCAGAAAGTGATTAAACATTTGTGACAAAATACAAAACCTACAGAAATATAATATTTGCAGAAATTGTTAAAAAGGTCATATTAAAAAGTGCAGATGGTATTATTGGACTCACAGCGGGTATATTCGTTTGGACCTCAAAAACACATTTCTGTCCATTTCAAGATTACGTTGACCTCTGTTATCACGCTTTCCCCACTTAACTCTCCATTCTCTCTCATAAAAGTTTGCCTTTAGGGCTCTTCCCAAGGGAAAAGGCACACATCCAATAGATCACGGCAGTGGTGAATAGCAAAACTGGAGCTTGGCTAGTATTTTTGATTTAATGAATTTAGCAAACAGTAGAACTGATTGCAGAAACAGAAGCATACTGTTCACAGAGGTTTGAACAGTTAAATAAATACAGAAACATTATAACTGGTGAAGTAATTTCTAGGTACAGGCAATTATTCACAGCAATGCAGTAACCAGTTACTGCCAGTAACAGTCCAGGATGTAGATAGTCTTTCTTTAGCAGCAGCACTAGTAAAAGGCCATCTATCACTCACATCTCAGGAGCTTGTCACTCTACTTTCTGCTAGCAGTTGTCATGGTTGGAGTGCCGCATTCATCACTGATATCCTGGTAAATCTACAAAACAGGTACTGGGTGTTGCTGGTCCAGGACCCTGTGCATACTTTTAGAAGAGCAGAAGTAGCTGATGCTGTATCTTGCATAAGCTCATCAGTAAGGTCATTACTGCCCTATTTAAAGTAAATGTGCACTCTGTATTAACTAGCGATGCCTAGAAGACACAATAAGATTCCTGTTCCCACATTTTATAGTGTTGCCCAGAATTCCAATGTATGCCAGTAGTCCCTCAAAGGCCTTTGAAGATATCAACTTTCAGAATGTCTATTTACATTGGACTTTCCACACTTCCCACCTTACAGTGCTTAGACCTGGCGATTTGGATGTTTAGGCATCAGAAATTGCATTGTGGGAGACGGGTTTGTGTGCCATAGCTGGAAGTACTAGGCATTTTAGAGGGTTTCCAGGGCTGCAGCCAGCAATGTGAAAGGTAAGAGCTTTACATTGCTTTAGCTATCTAATACTGGGTACCGGTTTTAGGCAATGTTGAACCATGCCCTACTACTCTGACACCAGTGACAAAGATTGGTGGGGCAGATCTAAAACCACAGCACTCTGTGGTGGTTTCGAGCTGTAGAATACACAAGCAGCCTCAACATGCTCCCACCCGTAAAAAAAAAAAATTTGTGTTGGATAAACTTATTTTTTGTAAAATTACTTAGAATGGGATTGGCAGCTGGAAAGAACAGCTACAGTTAAAATTACTTTTTGTCTCTGTGCTCCTCTAAAATGTGTTTTTGTCACCATCCACAGAGTTTGCAATCCTGCATGATTTAATTTGGCTGAGTTAAATGAGTTTATTGTGTTTAAGTTGTGACAAAGTTTTTTGTTTTTTCTCTCTGCAGGAAGTGTTCATCTAAATTGGCTCTGCAGAGACACATGGGAGTGCACGCTGGAGAAAAACCATTTCACTGCCAACACTGCGAATATAAAACAAGGCTGAAAGGTTCCCTGACGCAGCACATGAGAATCCACACGGGTAGGACTAGTAAACACATAGCCGTATAACTATGCAATAAATGATACACTTTTAAAAGACTGTTCACAGCATGCTGCAAATATATGAAAGCTTACACATTAAAATGTTGGCAAATTCTGTACATGCTAAACAACATTATAACTGAATGCTTTCTGCTTACAGGGTAAGACTAATGTTTATTGCCGCACTAGTCTCACAAGTGACTGTATTTTCATATACACTGAGTGGCCAGATTATTATGACCACCCCTTCAGTACTTCGTTTGGCCACGAGATGACTTAGTTGGGCCGCCTCGTAAATACCACGAGATGTTGAAAGGTGATGCGGGGAATCTGACACTGCACTGTTGCCCTTCTGTTGTCTTGTACCAGTCTTGCCACTCTCCGTTCTGCCCTAACAGTGACTAGTCGCTGACGGCCACAATTCGCACGTTCAGACCCAGATTTTCGGCTGACAGTCCAGTCTTTAAACACTTTGACAACAGCTGCTCTTGAACATTTAACGAATTCTGCTGTTTTGCTGATACTCACTCCATGGCTCCGAGCGCCAACAATCATCCCACGTTCAAAGGCTGTTAAATCGCGTTGTTTACCCATTTCTTCAGAAACAAATCACTTCTACTGTCGTGGTAAACAACCTGCTTCCCTATTTATAATGGTCTGGCCCTCTAGCAACTTCAGCACGAAATTATAGCTTATTTGCCTACAAACGTCAGGTGGTCATAATAATCTGGCCACTCAGTGTATTATTAGTATGGCCCTTAAAGTCCAAATACAATGACAATAGAATAGGGAACACTTTTTTTGTGAACTGGAATTTTGGCCATCCAAGTTTTGATGTGAAGATCAAATTTATCAACTATCAGTTTCTTTTTAGTACTATAACTTTTGACCAATTTTGTGGCATGAACTCAAAGAAGCGATCAATTGGGTCAGAAAATATGTATGAGGTAATCAATCCATTCGGACAATTAATTTTAATTACTTTTTTTCAATAAAAAACGTAAGGCTACACTCTTTCTGATTGTAGGATTTGGGTTCCCACCGCAGGAATCGCAAATCTTCCACTTGGATGCGGACGCCGTCACCCATTCAAGTTAATGATCGGGTGACAGCAGCCCCATCTGTAAGCGGCAGTCCACATGTAATCATATGTGATATGATTTAATGCGTTTTGGAATAGGTTACTATTAGGGATGCACTGATACCGATACAAGCATCGGTATCGGCCGCGATACCGAGTATTTGCATGGGTACTCGTACTCGTGCAAATGCTCTGATGTCTAAAACGAGTACCTGTGTCCGCCATCTTCCACCGCCGCACACAGCACACAGGACCTTGCAAGATGGCCCGCGAACTCCTTCTCCATGGGCGAACGGCCGAAACCAGACTCCGCCTTCAATTCCTCTGTCCTCACTCGTGATTGGTGGGGAAGCCTGTCAATCATCCAATCGGCCAATCAGCGTGAGAAGAGGCCGGCATTGACAGATGACTAGGCTGTGACACGAGGGGATGAAGCAGACGGAGACGACGGAGAAGAAGGTTAGCAGCACTGCTGGGGCTGGGCACAGGATGGGGGGTGGGCACAGGATGGCCTCAAAAGTTATATTTGCCTGCTGTAGGTTTATAAATTTAAAAAAAATGCACTACTGCTTGCTATTCTATTTGGATGAGGCAAATCATGGATGAGGCAGAGCACATGTTCAGCATAAAAAACAGGATGGCATAAAAAAAAGTTATATTTGCCTGCTGTAATGCAATTAGTAATTGCATTACAGCAGGCAAATATAACTTTTTTTTATGCCATTCGGTGCCCAGCACACACCTGTAGTGTGGCAAAGTTATATCTAATTCTGCATACCTGGCTGTATATTATACATAAAAAAATGTAATATACAGCCAGGTATGCAGAAATAAATATAACTGTTCCACACTATATGCAATGCATTGTGCACTACAGTGTTCTGGTCTGAACATGTGCTCTGCCTCATCCATGATTTGCCTCATCCAAATAGAATATCAAGCAGTAGTGATTTTTTCTTTTTTTTTATAAACCTAATTGGCAATTAGGTTTATAAAAAAAAAAAATCACTACTGCTTGCTATTCTATCTAACTAAGTCTTGCAAGTACATCATTTACATACCGTGTTTCCCCGAAAATAAGACACTGTCTTTTTCCCCCAAAAAAACACACTAGGTCTTATTTTCGGGGATGTCTTATGCAGCTGTCCTCGAACCAGGGGCGGAACTACCGCCATAGCGACCCATGCGGGCGCTATGGGGCCCGCGCCAGAACGGGGCCCGGCCAGGAGCAGGAGGGAGATATAGGGGGCCTTCATTTCCGTGCGGCCGCAAGTCAAACACTGCACCGCCGCACGGAACCTAAGGACACTCACCTGCAATCCTCTCCCCTGTCACAGTGCAGAGCGGGGGAGGGCGGAGTTATCTCCTGCCTGTGTTCGTCTGGAGAAGCACAACGGAGTAGACGTGTGATCTTCACTGCTGCTGACAGGTAAGGGGGGTCGACGGGGACTGGGACTGAAGACTCTGAGTGTGTGGGGGGGGGCAGGGACTGAAGTCTCTGTTCTCCTTAGATCCATAGAGCTGCAGTAGCCATTAACACTGGCTGCGGCTCATTCATATGCTAATTGACTCAATCAATTTGCATATTAATGAGCCGTGGTATTCATATGCAAATCCCGCCGTGCCTCATTAATATGCAAATCGCCCTTCCCACTCCAAGGCCTAAAGTTGCAGAATAGAGAAAGCAGAGTTTAGGCTTTGTTCACACCACATACAGTGCGTTCCAGTGTGGCTAGCTGCTGGAATGCACTGTATCGCATAGTAAACTCCCCTGTGCGTGCTGGGGCGGGAAGGGGTGGTGTGGTAGTGCATTGAAGTCAATGGCACCGCTGCCACACCCCCTGCCCGCAGTGCCACATTAGTGCCTGTGTTGCAGTCCAGTGCGGTCGGAAAAAATATCTGTGTACTCGCCCACACTGTCACCCACTCTGCACCCACCCACACTGCCACCCACTCTGTGTACCCGCATTGTCACCCACTCTGTGTACCCGCCCACACTGTCACTCACTCTGTGCACCCACCCACACCGCCACCCACTTTGTGCATTCACCCATAATGCCTATCAATTCTGTGCACCCACACCTCCCATCCACTCTGCATCCACACTGCCCGTACTGTGCACCCACACCGCCAACACTGCACCCACTTTGTAACCCCACTTTTCCCAGCTTCACTGGTGTAACTGTTTTTTTAGTTGTATTTAGACTGCCACACCAAAGAAATTAGGGAAAGTGGATTATATTGCACTAATAATCCGTCTGTGGTGTGGCAGTGTAATTATAACTTTAAATAACATTTCCACAGCAGTGAGGCCGGGGAAAGTGGGGTTACAAATGATAAACCCCTGTGGTATTTTAAGTTATAATTATAACCCCCCTTGTGTAAATGTATCCTAGGGAGTCTGTAAAACAATTTCTAATAAATAAGCTTACAATTCTGGTTCCAGGTCCAGCTTCTGGGTAGGGGAGCACACATCTGATAACACCACATTGCGCTTGTATTAGGGACAGCGCAGGCTTGAGCTATGGTGTCAGTCACTTGGAGGAGAGAGGAGCAGGGTAGGGAGGAGAGTGGCATTACATCCTATTGGTACAAGCAGGAGAAGTAGGACTCATACGTAGTGCCAGCGGGAGCTTGCAAGCAAAGGTGTCTCCAGTGGAACCCAGAACACGGAAGGAGATGCCTGAAAATCCAAACCAGAAGAGAGAGACCTTTTTTCAAATGGGGAATAAAATTGCTGGAAAGAAAGGCACACGGCAGTAATTCTAAGCGCTGAGGTCTTCAGTACTATATGCATTTTATTGTGTGAGGGTTTAATATCACTTTAAGTTTTTATAAATCCAACTCATTGTTTGCTGCTTAGGTCTTGTGTCTGTAAAGCAAATATGTGGGATTCTCTCCAAACGTTGGCAGCAGTAAACTATGCACTATGACATAATCGTTTCCTACCACTGTTTAATAGGAGCATATTTTCAGACGGTTTAAACTTTCACTTCAAAAAACCTCTGGTAATATGGTATGTTACAAGAAATCAAGGTTACTTTATTTAGATATTTGAGAAGCACACGTGATCTTTTCCTTTGCTTAATTTCAATTTTGTTTCTTCTTGTAGGTGAGAAGCCTTTTAAATGCGAGTTATGTGCTTATGCCTCAATTGATTGCAGTTCTCTACGTAGACACATCAGGACTCACACGCACGAGAAGCCTTACAAGTGCCCACACTGTTCTTATAGCTGGTGCGTTTTTTGGGGGGTTTTTTTTCTTCCTCCATCTATCCTTTCTCTGGGGTCAATGAAAAATCCATTACCATCACAACCGTTTTATTGAGAAACACCGGAAAAGGAGCAGTCATTGTTGCTAATGCCATCCAAGAAATACTGTGTATCAGGTTTCAAATTTTCCACAAATGCAGTGCAGCCGAGTGGAAATTCCTGCCAGGCTTGCGGTCTCAGACCGCGTACCTGACTCGTGAAGGGAGACTGGTCTGGCTCCCTTCCTTTCGGCCGGAGCTCTTCACTGAGCTCCGGGTCGAAAACGAAGTGATTAGTAAGGTCTGCAGACCTTACTAATCACACTAGACCACCAGGGATCTGCCAAGCAGTAGATATATGCGAAAACATTTAAAGAAAATAAAGTTTTAACCTTTTTCGTAACTTACCTGTGTCTCCGCTGCGCACTCCCTTCCGAAGATCTGAAAAATCTTGGGCGGCCGAAAAGGACAATGGGGCGGGCACATGTGCAGCACAGATCTTTGGCCAGGAGACAAGGAGAGACACAGGGTAAGTCAATGCAGGCAGCCCTGCAGTGTGCACCCGCACAGACTCCGCGAGACAGACGACACAACAGTCATCGCTGGATCAGAGACCGACACCAGCGCTGGAGGGACAACTGAAAACTACAGGAAAGTCCTTACATTAGCATTGTGTATGGGGGGAAGGGAGGGGCATTTTATCCTTTAATGTCACTTTAACCCTGACTGTACTGTGGTGGTGGGGCTCATTATCATTTGTAAACTAGATTTGAACACTGTCCTTCCTAATGGTTAAAGATCTAGAAGCATTATGTTTATGAGGAGGCGCTCAGTCTGTTCTAAGTCTTTCTATTAGGACAGTCATAGTTTACTGTTAAATAGCCTGCTAAATAGAGACATCTCAAAGGTAAGAAATATTTTTAAAAAACCAGATATGATGTATGAATAGGAACACACAACAAACATATAATGGGGCTTTCTCAAATTTGCCTGTGAAAGTAAAAATACGCTTTAAGCTTATACCTTGGAGAGCCTGTCCTACCTAAGAGATTACTGACTAGGGATCAACACACAATTGTTCAAATAATATATAGAAAATTATATTTTCAAATTAGGTTAGCATAATAATAGCTGGTCCTTATCTTGTTATGTATTTTTTTTAATGATTGATTCTGCATAATGATAATAGGTTTCTTCTTTTGCAGTATTCAGAAGAAAAGTCTTGACCTACACATACGTCGCCACCACACCAGGGAGAAGTTCAAGTGTAGCTTTTGCCAGTATTCTTCTCCGGACAAGCAGTTAATTCATAAGCATACAAAGAAGCACCATGTCGATGAAAATTCACTGCTTCCAGGCTCAGCTCCCTAGCAGATGACATATGGCCAGCAAATGATTATTACATGAACTTACTTGAACTACATATTATAGTCAACAGGGTCATAAATGTATCCTCTGGATTGAACCGGTACTATATCATGAGGTCTGCCTGTCTTTCCTGTAGGATAATGTTGTGCAGATTGGCTGCTTTTATTCACTTTCAGCTTGCGATCCACAGCTTACTAAAGCCTTGACTTTTAAAAATGAAGAAATTAGAAATGAAAGGAAAAAATAATTATAACTAAATGTATTTTTGTCCACATTTAGAGTCCCACCTTTTCTTAGCAATGCAAAAGTTGGACATTTAATTGAAGAAAGTAATTTAACCACCTTTTGTAGGTGAGCATTTTTTTACATTTGTGCACACAAATGCAGAGCCCTGTAGAATAAAAAAAAATGGTACTTGCATTCTTTTATGTTGCATGATATTTGCACAAATTTTTATCAAATCGTTTTAGGAAAAAATTCACTAAAATAAATTTTAGTGCACACAAAAACAATATAATGCCAAATTTTTCAGGTAAAATATTAAAGTTGGGTTTATGTCACGTAAATAGATACCAAACATGCCAAGCCTTAACATTGTGCACACCTGTGCAATTGGGAAAAACTATGGTACTCAAAATTGTCCATAGGCAGCGGTTTAAAAGCTTTTACAGCTTGTCAGTTTTAAGTTAACAGTGAATTACAGCCCTAGAATTATTGCTCTCACTCCAACGTTCATACCGATACCTAACATGTGGCACAATCACCATTTACTTTCAAGTCTATTAGACCCATGATGTCTTCCCTGCCCTCCAAGACAGACAATCAAGCACAGGGATGTACTTGGTCATCTGTTTATCCAGCACTTCAGCTGGGTTTGTGACAGCTCTGAAGCAGGAAGCACTGAAAGCTTCCTGCTTCACTGATATCCAAGCAGATCAGGAATGGATGTTCCTCTTTCTGCTCCCGCTCTCCATCCTTGCACTGTTTGCCATGGTCCCAGGACCACCAGAGTAGTGGGGAATGGTTGCACAGTCACAGGCTGGTACAAGTGACCTGGGTGGCTGTCCACTTGTACTTGACAAACTTCATCTGCTGAAAAAAATTATACCAGCAACAGTCGTGATCTTGGTATAACCACGTCAGGATGATGACGCATATACATACAGCGTTCCTGAAGTGGTTAATATACCTATGGCATGGCTCAAAATACATACAGCACATATGTTTCTAATTTAGTCATATTGAATTTAATGCTGAAATAAAATGTGTGCTTTTGATAATCTTGCAAATGATGGTGGCGATTAGCAACCATCTAATATCTCAGGTCGGTAGCGAGAGGTTTGTTTGAAATGTTTTCTCTTTGTTATACGAATACATCCAAGGGTCAGCTCGCCTAGTCTTCCCATTTGTACTTTTCAAAAATAAGCTAAAATGTTATATGTAGACAGTCACAGTAAATATAGTATGTTTAACAATCACAGTAAATGTCCTTGGTTGTATTGTATTTTATAACACAAAATGCCTGGTCACTCCATTATAGTATTATTTTTAAAGCATGGTTTGTTTGCCTTCTTTAACGAGTCAAGCAATATGTAGATTGAACATTTGCTTTTCTGCTTTATTACTGACTTTGTATGACTACCACCAGGAATAAATGTAGCGGGAAAGCACATAAATCACCTTTCCAATCCCACCCCTTTTGTAGTTTTGCATTGCAATGCTTACAGATCCCCAGCACACCAGTTGTTCACTCAACACTGCCCACACCCTGGTAGAGACCATCTCTAAACACTAGTGCAGTGGTGGCGAACCTTGGCACTCATGCTGTGCCAAAACTACAAATCCCAAGATGTATCTGCCTCTGGGAGTTATGTCTGTGGCTGTCAGAGCCTTGCAATGCCTCATGGGACTTGTAGTTCCAAAACAGCTGGAGTGCCAAGGTTTGCCATCACTGCACTAGTGTCTATGTCACCACCACCACGCATTGCTCCCTAAGCAATGTCCGGAACACTAAACACTCTCTATAGCCCCTTGTGCACCTCTATACCCAGCGTCTGCATTAGATTGCTTACAAAATCCCCCATATTGTTTGCAGTAGCTTATTACAGTTCTTCCACCACTGTCTGTACTACACTCTCTGGCACACCCCACATACACACTCTATGTTCTCTGGCAGCTTACTCTATCATCCACACTATATTCTCTGACAGCTTCCCCCATCCCTCCTTCAGGTCCGCTCCTCTGCTGATTCACAGCAGGCAGTGACAGTGGGCGGGTGCAATAACCAGCCTGCTATTGGCGATTGCAATTTGAAATAGCGAATAGCAGGCTGGCTATTGCACCGCACACTGCCTGCGGTTTACATTCAGCTGCCGGCAGATGAGTGTGGGGGGGGGGCGGAGGCCCCCCTTCACTGCCATCAGTAGGGATGGACGATATCAGGCCCACTGCCTGCAGTTTGCATTCAGCTGTCGGTGCAAAATTCTGCAGCTGGATGTAAACCGAATATCAATACCTGTTGTTGGTTATTGGCCTTAAAGGTGGCCCATAATCAATATCGGTTCTGAAAAAAACATATCTGTCGACCCCCAGTTCCAAAACCATCTCTATGGCGCTGACACTCAAATCTATCTTTCTACTCCTCAGCTCACCCCCTCATTCTCATCACGGATCCCTAGTTTACTGGCGTATCAGTGTGGATGTCGCATCACTTCCTTAAACTGAGCCCATCCTGATCTCCTGCAGCCACTTCCTGTTTACATGGCATTTCTAATGGCAGCTTTCCTGATGTTGACAACAAAGGACCATGTCTGTGTAATGTGTGTTAAAACTGCCACTTTTTAGGGCTTGTTCACACCAAGTGCGGACCAGATCTGCATGAGTTTCTGCACGTGCAGTGTGTTTTTGACGTGTTCCGGACTGTTTTTGTAAAAAAAAACTAAAAACTTTCTTTTTAGCCTAAAATGGACTTTCAGTGCATTCCTGATGCATTTGCGTGTGTTCCAGAGCAGAAAAAAATGGGGCATGCTGTAGTTTTTCTACATGCTCTGGAACTAAACGCTGTGGTGTGAACTAGAGCCGTTTTACAGCGATTTGCGATAAAAGAAACGCGTGACAAACGGGCCTTTCCGAGGGCTATCCGGCTGTATCCTAATGGATACGCGCAGCAAATACGCCCCAAAGAAGCTCCTGTACTTCTTTGGGCGTAGGGCGTTTTTCAGCGCGTTCCTACGCGCTGTAAAACGCCCAGGTGGGGACCATGCCCATAGGCAATTATTGGTTTTCACATGTTGAGCGTTTTACAGCGCGTAGGAACGCGTTGTAAAACGCCCAGGTGTGAACCAGGCCTTAGTCTCTGTTAGAAGTCCATATGAAAGGGTGACAACACAGGAGCACAAATGGGAGACAAGGACAGAGCTGGTCTCCCCATAATAGGAAATGCCTGAACATGAACATTTATGGCAGGATCACCTGGAATTTATTGCAATGTAAGCTGCAGGTTTCAAAATTGTGAAAATCTTGTGAAATCACATTAACATGGTAAGGATTATAAGAGATTTTAGCGATTTGGTGCATATCTACTAAGCCCAAGACCTATGTAAGGTAAGTGGAAATGGTTTGATTTCTTCATATTGGGTTAGTGAGAAGAAGGAGAGTGGGAATTATGCTTTCAGAAAATTGCTTTACGTGTGCTTTAAGATGCTAAGACTTTTAATGAGCACTGAAATATTTCAAAGTATTTTTGTAATTCTTTCCAGATGACTCAGGTCCTCAAGGTACAGTTTACTTAGACATCACTTTTCCTCTGCAGGATAATTTGTTCTGAATTTGAAATGATGCACATAAACGGGTACAGAATACATATATTTAAAATAGTTTTTTTTAAATCTCTCTTAAAGCTTAAAATCATGTTAAAGGATTCATGTTCAGGTGCATGTATCCCTTTGGAACCAGGGAAAGTTTCATTTGTAGCTCTTACTGTGGTATGGAATTGGTTTTGATTTCTAGTTTGTTTTTATTATTACACAGGATATGGTAACATTGTAATAGTATCTGGTGTCTATCACAGGGGCCGGCAACCCCCGGCACGCAGCTTGGCACGGGAGGCCACATCTGCTGGCACGCAAACTCATTTTTTTGTTCGCATTTGACATCGCATCGTATTTGCATCGCTCGAGCCGGCTGTCAAATTGAAGTCCCACCCACCTCCCTCACGTGGCCAGATGACGTTCATGCGCGGAGCCGCGCTGAGGAGGCCAGTGAGTTTAACTTTATTATTAGCAGTACAACTATGAGTACAAAAACTGAAATTTACTAATACTATGGTGCACTATTGTTCAATGGCACTCGGTTGTCTGATGGTTGCAAAAATGGCACTCGGTGTGTAAAAGGTTGCTGACCCCTGGTCTATCAGAACAAGACTAAAACAAGTAAATGTATTCACACTGTGGACCTGTCATTATAATGAGGGGATTAGGTTAAGATACCTGCTTTACTGGCACTTGATGTGCCTGCCTATACCATTTATCTGAAATCGCCTGTGCACCCTATAACTCTAAAATTTGGGTAAAGTTAGTACGCAAACTTTTGACTTTGGCTTCAAATCAGTGTTCCAGGACCCCCAGAACATCCCGCAATCCAGTTCAGGCAATTCTTTACGAATGGCGGAGAGGTCCACATCCTATTGCTGTGGGGATTGCTAGAGCTCTGACTTTGCACATTGAATTTGTTACGGTCTGAAGGTTTTTGGAGGCTCAGGAATGGCGGAGCAGCCACACATTGTCATGTTTACTATTAGGCAGGAAAATATCAGAAAAATGCTTTCAGCACAGTGACCGGTTCATTTTAAGTTTGTAGAAAAGAAATATAGATGCTATCGTTGGTTACCTCTGCTTCAGAAAATTCCCACTTTCTGGCTGATATGCTGTTGGCTTCCATACGTTCTAGGTCACTGACCTGGAACAAGTATGTAAATTAAGAACGCTGACTTTAATCTGACTCTATTCAGCATGCTTGTTTCAGGTAACGGCTGCAAGGCATCTAGTACCCTTTTAATTTTAGCAATATCGGCATCTGTTTACTACAGGTTTCCTTCAAAGGGACAAATGTATGGAGCACTATTGGACAGCTGCTAAAAGTGGGGTATCTGTAAGTCTGAATAGGAAGCATG